ACAGAGCCGCAAGCTGGCGTCTCCTGAGGCGTTTTACGAAGTTGAGAGCTTTGCTTTTTTATGTTTAATTTCATTGCCGCTCCCCATGCGGGTCCCATGGCGGAAGGCACCCACGCAGCACAGCTCACGCCACCCGCGGGCTTTGCTGCTGGTAACGTCCAGAGAGACACATCATGCTCAGCCCCGAGCCCCTTCGCCAAAAAAAATTACAGTAGCGAAGCAAAGTGGTATTGAAGAAGGAATGATATGGCCAGAGACCTCAGTAAAACCAGTTAAAGTTACAGAAGAATAATCCCGGTACTTTTTCCCCAATTTTGCAATGAGGAAGGACGAGGAACTGAGCTATGGAGCAAGCTGATGAGACAGCCCACGCGTGCGCCCCGTAGTAGCATCGTTTGCATGGGTTTGGCATCTCCTGCATGAACCAGAGCTGCCACAACAGGGCCTGGAGCAGAAGCTGCAGCAGGACAACTGATGAGACAGCACAGGACATTGATGAGGACAAAGGCTCAGTTAATTGTCACAGGCTTTACTAGGAACACAGGAATTGCTGAAAGCTGTTAGGGCAGAGAGAGCTGTCTTCACCTGGTATTCAGTCACCAGAGTTTTAGCAATGCTTTTATATGTGTGCAATTTTCCTAGCTGATAATAAATGATGGTATTTTAGAACATGGTTTTATAAAGATAGCTTAGGTGCTGAATTCTTTCTTTCATGTTCTTTTCCACTTACAGGTACCAGCCAAAGCATGTCCTCATACCATTACAAAGGTAAGATTTATAGAAGATAGAAATATACGCTCTTTTCGCCAACAATAATCACATAAGAAACAGCAGTGTGCAACTTCTGGTAAAACTGCCACAAACAGATTTTAGCAGGGCTTTTCTTCACGAGGAATACTAAACAGAAGTCCTATCACATAGAGTGTTTGATCTAAGACAGGGGATCTAGGAGGGGTCGAACAATATGGAGTAGCCACAGCTTCCTGCTTCAACCACATGGTTGTCTTCCAATCTTCCAAAGCATCTTACCTCTCTGTCCTCTTCTGTTCCGCACAAGACCTTACCCCTTTGTAATGGGACTGATGTCTTCTCCCGCTTAAAGCACTGATTTTATTCCTGGAAATCTCTTCTCTTTTGCTTTGTGTAGCAAAACTGACTGATTTTGTTAAGGTGGAGGAGGATGAAGGGAAAGCACTACATAAGTAAGCACTGTTCAGAGCAATCTCCCCAGCCACACGGTCTGGGATTACAGCTGTGCTTTCCTCAAAAGTTCAGCACTCGTGAGTCATCCTTCTTCCTTTCCCCTCTCTCCCTCCTCTTCCCAAACAGAAATGCATGGCCTATGAGAGATACGTGACAACGTTATGTCCACAGTCATGAGGTTAGTTTTCAGTACTAGATTGGGGGCTTGGGGCACCCTGCTTGGGGGTGTGCGTCTCCCCAGCTATCACAGTTAGGAAATGTGATTTTGCCTGCTGCTTTTTTCACCAGCTGCTGGAGACAAGAGAGGTTCCAGCTTCCCCCTCTCCCTCCACTTCTCCTTTCCCTCAGTACAATTACTAAGGACTGGTTAATCACCTTTGGCACACATGCCTACCTTGCTCTCTCTGTCCCTGGTGTGGGGCGGCCGGCAGCAGGGCATCGTCAGCTCCTTCCCAGGATGCAGGCACAGGGCTGGGAACCCTCCCCAAGGCCACTGCTTTTGGGTTGGGCCAGCCAGGGGCACCTTGCTCTTAGGAGGAGGGCAGGACGTGGTGCAGAGCTTCGGGGCTCTCTTGCCTCTCTCCTTTCCTGCTGGCTGGTCCCCTACTTACTCAGATGCAGCTCTGGACTGTCACAGGGACTGAGCACTCCCCTCAGCAGTCCTGTCAGGGAAAAAACAGAGGATTTCTTGATAGCATAGCATCATTATACCACTTTTCATTCACTTAAAGTATTCAAAGTGCAATTACTTACATAATTTGAGTCAAGGAAATGAGTGTGTAGGGGGGAAATGTATCAGCTGATGGTGATATACATCCCTGTGCAGCAGCAAGGATGAGGTGGCTTCAACAGCTCTTAAATAATTAGGTGGGTGCTGGTACTTGACATAGGGCAAATACTGTCCACCTCTATTAGAAAGGCATGAATTAGTCTAGGGCAGCTCCATGCATCACGAAGGCTACCCTGATTTCCAGCTTCTGGACTGGTTTTTGGAACTATTTAATCAAGAAGCTATGGTCGGCACAAGCACTAGAATGTAGCCTGGAAATGAATGAACTGTGCCTGGAAATTAGAAGCAGGCTCTTAATGATCAGAGCATTGGACTATTGCAGAGAATAATAGGAGGAAAAATACCCTTAACTACTTGAATATGTGGCATATTAAATATGCTTCAGTCTAGAGTGCTCCATTGCACTTTATGTTCTCCTGTCCAGTTGCAATGCCAACTGGAAATTGAGCAACGCAACACCCATGTGCCAAACGGAAAGCTTGTGATCCACCTTTCACTTACAGCTGTTTACTATACAATAGGATACAGCCATTCTATTTTATGAGGTCAATCTTTTTGTACCAGGTATCTGACAAGCTATTGTGTGCTCTCACTATCTTAATCATCTGTAATTTTGAATCATGCTTCAAATGAGTTCTATTCCATTTGCAAAGCGTAGGAATTGAGGACATCTTTGCTGTTCTCAGATAAATCATAGCAGCAAGACCAGGGGAAAAAAATGGTTGCAAAGAAACAAATCTCCCTCTGTGGTTAGGGGTTAGAAGTCAGTTAATGCTAATTACAGATACAAACAATCTTGCCAATACTTTACAGAGATTTGAAATAATGAAATCAAAGTCCCAAATCACCATAGAGTCATCAATCACACAGTATAGTAAAAGTAGCACAAACACAACCTTCTCAACAAGAACTCAGTCAAACATGTTTCCACCTTTTCCTCAAAGGGAGGATTTAGCCCACAAACTTCATTATCAAATCCAGAGCATTCTTAATAGCAGGCTGAGAAACGAGTTTTAGAGCCTCACAGCCAAATTTGGGACACTATGTCATGGACAAGGAGTAAGTCAGCTGCAAGCTGTAATCACCTCCCATTTTGTACTCCTGGAAGGTGTACCAAAACCCCTCCAAACAGGTATTGCTTAACTCTTAATTTGGCCAGTTGGCTATTTCACTTGGCTAGTGAAATAGAGAACTAGCATGAGCTGGCCTTTAGCAGGCTTACCTTATTATGTTCATTCTTCCTATTCTTATACTAAAACAGTTCCAGGCTCTTCCTCCCATGATTTGCATGTAGGTGAAATTTAGTTGTCTTTATTAGAAAGTAAAAGACTTCATACCAGTGCAGGAGTCATCAGTGAATAGATCAGCCGGAGGCATAATCCATCTAGTCGCTGCAGATCCTTTTTTCTCTTGGCTAGCATGTCTCCAGGTTCCACTCTTTCTAAAGAAAGATTACGTTTATCATGCACAAAGGTATCTTTTAACGCATGAAATCAGACAGAAGCTACACATCTACCAAATATTTTGGCATCAGTCAGGTTCTCTGTCTGTTGGTTCTGAGGCAGTCACCTAATACTCAGCTCTCAAACCTGTTCTTTCAGATCTCTTGTCTTCACAGTCAAAAGGATACAGTTTTTTACTTCAGGAAAAATAATGTATATGGATTGTGCTGAAGCAGAAACACAGAAAAGCTGAGCTTTTCAGCAAGGTAAGCTCCAAGTAAATTGTCATGTTTTAAGACCAGTATGTCTTGTCTTCTCTGTTTTTACTTCACATGCAATCGGAACCCTTAAAATAACCCAAACCCCATTCTAGTAGCAAAACAAGACCTTAAAGAAGAACTGTTTGCTCTGTCATTTGCTTTTTATTTTGTAAATACTGACTACCTGTATTCTCCCCTGCTCCCTCTTCAGTTAGCATCTTCTATCTCTTACTCCTGTTGTTTATATTTACTCTCAATCACTATCACATGTTGCCTCACTGGCCACTCTGCTTGCTCAGCTGCTCTGTGGGGACTCACATTCTCAAGCTGCCTCAGCCTATGCCTTTCCTGAAAGCTTCACCTGCATTTTCAGTTGATGCCCTAGCAGACTCAGCACTGCATTCACGATCAGGCCTGTTTGCTATAAACTTGCCATAAGAAGTCAAGAAGCCAGCTTGATTGCTGTTCTTTACAGGAATCCACATGTAAACTTGTGCAACATTTTGCATTATGCATGCCGGAAGGGCAGGCCAGGAACTGATAGGCAAAAGGCATTAACATTTGAAGACAAGATGCAGCATCTCAGCTAAAGTTTCCTTTCTAAGATACAGTGTATTAAGGAGAAATTAATCTACAAGAGCGAAGCAGGGCACAAAGCAATCATTAAGCACTGAACAGTGGTTATCCTTCTGAGTATACAAACTACAGCCTGTCACTAGAGATACTAACATACTACACCTCACTAGTATATAGCATTGCATTAGGAAACTGGTTTGGGGACAAAATATAGAAGCAACTGCTCAACAAACATATTACTATGGCCTTTATATAGATTTCCAATTTTAAAGTAGAACAGAGATCAAACAGACTCATATTTTACTAGTTCTGACATATGTCATGATCAAACGATGACTACTAGTTAACCAGTCAGGCTACTAAGCCAGTCTTTGTCAAATGTAGCATATATATCATGTTGTATTATCTGTAGTTATTTAAATACATTTGTTTTACCACACACTGGATGATAATATTCATAATTCACAATGATGAATAATGATGATAACGATCACATAATTCATAATTATGACACGCTGATAGTTAATTATAGAAAAAAACCCTAAAATGGAATCTATGCTCTGTCCAAATGAACACAGCAAAATCCTTATCGTGAAAAAGAGCCTACAAAACAATCCCATCACACAGATGGGTTCGGTTGGTTTTATGACCTGCCTTGATAGATGGCAACTGCCTGGAAGAAAACCACAAACACCAAGTGTGTAGATAGCAGCATCACTTGAACATATGACAGCTTCAGCTGCTAGAAACTGAAATACAAAGGCTGGAGATTTTCATGGACAGCTTATGGTAAGATGTTTCTTATTCCCTCACTATCTAGCCATCTTCAGAATACACACCATTGTCCTCTTTTCCCAGCTCATCTATTCTGTTTAGACCCCAAAATGCACACAGAAGTCATGTCTGTGCTTAAACTTTACATCCTGCAAAGAGCTCTGTTCATTATCAGTTGATTCTTTGTGATAGCTGTGATTTAACTGTTATAAATATCTTTACATCCTTAGGGCTGACATTACTATTTCTTTTGGAAAAAGACTGGCTCTTACTAGCAGTATGACTTGACCGGGCAGCCGGATTCTTCCAAAATGCCTGTACACGCAACATCCTGCAGAGCAAGAAAAAACTGTCAACAACTGGAAATTGCAAAAAGGATTTAGGTAAAAATTCCTACGGTGCTAAAACCATTAAGCAGAAGATAACAGGGGTGGAAAAGAATATGATGGAAAGAGGTTGGTACAAGACTCCAATGTCCCAGCATCTAGAGCATTCTCTGTAGTGCTGTATCCAGAAGTTTGTATTGGACGCTGCGTTCACAGTCCATGTAACAAGATACTATTTCCTGTGTTTGTGATCAATGTGATATATGGGTTAGAGTATTTGTGTTTGTTTCATTTTCGGTACTGATCCCATTAGTATTTTCACTCCCACACCCAGGAGAGAAAAATGCATTCTCCCAGCTACATTTCTTAATGTATGATTACTTCAATCTACAAGACACAATTAAAGGCACTCTCCTTGTTTGCATCTCTGTCCTCATTTTCTCTTAAAAACCACTGGATATAAAATTTTGTGTACACATTACCTCAAGTCTTCTGAAAACTAACAATGGCAAGTTAGATCTGGTGAAACAAGGGTGTTTTCAGAGGCTAGCAAGCCTGCCACTCTTGAAAGCCTGCCAGGTTTAAATATTTAATGATCAGACATGGCATTCATCCTCCTAATCAATTCTTTTTTTAGATACAAGTCTGAAGTCTCAGAAAGTGCAATCAGGCAGTGCTGGAGACCTTCAGAGGCTTCTCAGGCCAAATAGTAAATAGCTATGCTTGCTAGGAAATGAATAGGAGAGGCAGAAATCTCTGCCTTATTCCATTAGAGGTGCATTGAAGGCATAAAAGGGGTATTGCCTTGAAATAAATTGGTGTTTATAAAGCCTTTTCTTTAGATCTTTCATGTTGGTGGCATTTTTTACTTCAAATTAAATGAAATGGAAACTTTTACAAAGCTAAAAAAGGCAAAATCCTTTCTTGGAAGGCAGTGGACAGGTATAAGTTCCACACGTGCAGAAGAACACCTAAGAGAAGTCTGCTTACAGACCTGGCACATGCGAACCATGTAGTGGGGGCATGCAAAAGTAGGCATGGGTTTAGCCAGGGAGTAGGTTACACCATTTGTTTCAGAACCACATGGAGTATACATGGGCTGATGTAATGTAAGAAATGCAAGTGACAAAGTCAGAAACATGCGTCTTAAATCACCTTTTGAAAAGAACTTCGGTACTTTCAGGCAAATCTTCCTCCTCTGGTTGGGATTCCTATCGCTCCCTCCCTTCAGGAGCCAAATATTTATGCCATTCCTTTCTGCAAAAGAAAGCCAGAGGAAGGTTGATGCTTTTCACCTTATTTAGTAGCTGAAGGGACAGGACACTCAAGCTGAACATGGGAACCTCTAACTAAGGCGATTCCCAGGAGAGACAAGACTGTCTCTTAAAAGTGTATGTCTCTCAACTGGTCTCTGTTGGCCCAAATAGACTGTAGAAGGTTTTGAATACTAGACTCTCCTCATCCAGAAGATTCCCCTCATCAACAGACGATACTGTAATTCCTTCACAGCTGGATTAATAAAAATTGGATTATTCTTAGCAAAAGGAACTGCATCAACAAAGAGCTCCAAGACTGAAGGCCACGTAGATCCACAAGAGGTGTACATGCCAGATGTAGGCTCAAATCCATTCAGATAGAAGAACAGACTAAACCCCACTTCTCCCATATCTTTGGTGAAGTGTTGAGTTTTATGACATCTTTTATTGCAGACAATAGTTCCTAGGAAATTATTTTGCTCTAACTGAAGCCAATAATAACATTTCTATTGTCTCCCAATGTGATCTGAGCAAGGCTCATAATGCATTCAACAGCTAGAGAAAAAAATTTGTGAGGATGGCAATGGTAACAGATAATAGTGCTCCCTTACCCTTGCATTTCTCTTATGGGCCCCGTGGATATAAGTTTAACTGTGACAGTTCATTAGCACAGCTTTCTTTTGGGCCCAGAGTTTTATACTCTGTATTTGACACTAAGATCATGTTGCAAATACTCATGTCTAAACAACAAAAGGTATGTATTATGTGATGATTCAAAGGGCATCAAAAATTGCTTTGAAAGAGATTCAGCGAGAGTTCTGGTTTGCAGAAAAAGGAGAATGATGTATACAAGGATAAAAAACTCTCCTTACAGAGTAACAGGATTGATTGGACATGTTATACCGACCCAATAAACAGCGGTGCTGTTGTTTCTTTAACTGCAGCTTGTCCTTATGAAAGAAGCTTGTTTATGCTTTCCACAATGTTCACAGGTTCTTTTTATGGCACTTCATATTTCTCTACTGCACAACAGAGTAGAGACTAGGAAAAAAAATGCAGCTGTGCTTTATTTCAAAGAGCTGCACAATAAAGACTATTGTACAGTCCCTTGGGTGAAGTCCAGGGCAGTGAAACTGATATCATCTTCTTGCAAGGAGATGAATAGGATGAGAGTGGTGCTTAGTTGCCAGCTGGGTTAAACCACAACAGCTGATAAAGGTGAACACCCTTAAATATGATTGTACTGTTCTCAAAGTGTGCTTTTATAGATCAGGTGCCTGATAAGGAAGAAGATACTAGTTTACTGGGATGGAAAATCATGGGGACATTAGCAGTCATATTCCTCTATAACTGCTTACTTCTCCATTTAAACTGCTGCTGCACCCACCTCAGAGGAAATCCTTCCAGTCATTGTATAAAGAGGGACCCAATACAACAAACCATGTGAGCTGTTAAGTCAATAGTTGAATGCATGGGAGTACCACACTGCACAGGTTCTGCACTGAGCAGGTACAGATGCGCTCACTTTCTGTATTTTATATCAGCAGAAATATTCACATAAGGTACAGGAAAATTAAACAATCCTTGATGCAAAGAACTCAATGTACTTTTTGCAAGTTGTGTGCAAGATGAGACCCAACACTAACAAAGAACTTGACAATTAGAAAACTGAACTAAAAGCATGAATCTAATTTTGAATCTTCATGAGGAGATCAAATATTGGAAAAACTGCTCAAAAATGTTGGGAGTGGAGGTGTCAAGGAAAGTAAAATTCTGCTGTACAAATCTGAAGGAGAAAGGGAGTAAATGTTGCATTAAGTAAACAAGCAAATAAAATGTAAAATTTTCAGGCAGTGCCATCTCCATTAGATGAATGCATATTGAGACTGCCCTGTAGTCATTACTGGGGGAAGGGTCCAGAACAACAGTGCTGGTGCTATAGCTTGTCCAGGAAACCAATCAGTTACTTGAGTTGGTGCCTGCTAAGGTCAGTACTTACTACGTTTCACTGTGTTAGCATGACCTTGTTTCTGCAGAAGCCATTATAGCACCAATGAGCTACTAGAATATTCTGCAGCAGAGTGGGCTTGGTCACAGTTATTCTCAGCTCTGATCAGCCAGAAAGGCCCTTGTGACGATGTTAAACATAGCACATTTCCCAACAAAGACCATGATCTCATCATCAAGAGGAACTTCCAACCCTTTTGTTTCAAACAGATAAAGCAAACAGGAAATACTCAGCTACCTTGCTTCCAGACTTTTACCATCCATTTCACTACTTCCTGCCTATGTCTATTCTGGCAGAGAACTGTTTAAGAAAATTGCTTCTTTAAAAGTGCAGGTTTTGCTCACGCCGGCAGCTTGAGCTTTCAGCATCTCACTGTCTTCTCCCTCCTCCTACCCTCATGGTGGGGGAAAGGGCAGGAGCAAAAGGAGGATTAAAACAGGAGTGTTCACATCATCTGCTTCATTTAGGTATCGCCCTTCCTTCCTTTTAACTAAGGGCTACTTTTCATAGCACATAGAAATGGTTCATGGATATTCTCTCTGTAGTGACAGTCTGGAATCCTTTGACAGTGGGAACTGGGCATGCAGGAGCAGGCATCACAGTATTTTTTTTTCTCTTTAAATTGACAAATCCAGATGTCTGATTCCATTAGTTATTTGAGGAGAGTTAACCCCGGCTCTGTATTTTTGAAAAAAAAAAAAAAATCAAAGAATTTCATGCAGGTCAACAATTTCCTGTTGTTTTCAGAAAATTTTGAGGCATTAATGCAACATTAAAAAAAAATAATTCCTGTTTGTATGATAAATGTAAGGATAGAAGGATTTTGTGTTTGTATCATACTAGTGTATGAAACAGGAAAAGAAAAGAATGGGAGCATAAGAAAGATCTTTGCAGAGATGGTAGCCTAAAAATGGTCGTGGTTTCTGCTTACTATGATCTTCAGGGAGCTGGAAATTGTGATGCAGAAATGTCAAATCTTTGTTGTTTTCTTAGGGAATATTGCAATTTTTTTACGCCAACATCATGGCAGCTGACAAGGAAAAGTCCAAGATAAGGGTCCTCTGACCAGGGAATTTTCTACACTTAGTCTCCTTCCACCAGTCATACTATATATTTTGTATGAATTAAATTATATTTTTAAAAAGGAAATCAATTGAACACTTTCTACTAGTTCCTCAGGTCAGTTTCTACCTCATCCATATCTCTTTCATTTTACAGCCATATAGCTGTCTTCAGGTGTTTAATTCCTTTTCATTAATCTCTAAATATCTTTTGACACTCTGGAAAAGATTTCACAGTAAGTCACTCCTGTACGATGATGTTAACGAACAGTAACCCCATAGGCATACATACTCAGTTTTATATGTATTAATGATGAAGACAGCTTTGAGAGGTGTTTTATATCCTTAAGCCTCTTGAAAACAGAGAAAATACACATGAAGCAGAAACACTTACCAGCTCCAATTTTTTAAAAAAGATACTGTATTCAGTTCAATTACAGATTAAGGTGATCCCAGGATTTAACTCCAGTTTCAGCTGAAGTAAACAGGAGTGTTGTCAACAGGGGAATCAACGTCACAGATAATAAGCACCAAAGTAAGAAGAGGGCTCCTGCTCTTCTCCAGGGTTTCTCTATGTATCAGAGGTTGTATCCAGGTGACTACAACAATGCAGTACTCTTCTTTGTCTCTTTTTAAAATTTTCTCCTGGTAAGGACAGAAGCCTTCTGTTTCTTTTTATAAATCCTCCACCTGCAGCCTCAAATTCCAGATTGACAGACTAGAAATTGCTGTATGAAGGATATTTTTATTAATCATATAAATCTTTGTATGTGGTGCAATACTTAGCCCAGACACATAAATGTTTCAGTGGGCATGAGAGAAATAAAATCTTAAGGCTGACACAGAAAGAAGTGCTCACCGAAGTCATTACAGCGAGCAATGATGTGATTCCCCACTCTGATGTTAAATCTTCTGCAACTCCACCAAAGCTATCATTTAACAGCTTCTGGCAGTAGCACCTCAGTAATAGGTTTAGACAGCTTAGTTTAATTATTATTATTAGCTTGTGAATGTCTTAAATTCTGCATCATGGCACAGATGCTTTATGCCAAATACAATGTTCCATTTGGTGCAATCTATATTTTTCAATTCATGTTTTGTTTTATTTTGAGCTGATTCAAAGTGAAATTGTTTTCAGTTTTTCACTTTGGACATGCAATTGAAAAAACAGTCCTTCAGCCTTACCACTCTGTTGCCAGGCACCAAATTGTTCAGTGATGACTTACAGGCTCAGTTATTCTTTTGAAGAAATTGGCCCGTCTCAGATCTCACTCTTGTTTGAAGATATTCACAATCTATTCATATTGAAAAAGGAAAAAAAAAAACAAACCCAGATATTAATTACATTATCAAGTTCACAACAATTTACTCAGGTGCTTATGTAACAAAGGAAAACATGCTGACAAAACTGACTTGCAAATAAAGATATTTAAACTTGACAATGTTTAGATAACCCAGCAACACCTGTTCTTTAAAACTGGTAATCAACAGAAATATTGCATGGTCGTGGGTTGCAGCATTCACTCTCCTAATTTTCCTTAATTTGGTAAAGATATTCAGTCTGCATCCCAGATTTTCAGACCATCATGTGGGAGAACTCAGAAGGAAGCTCTTTCAGCTTAAATAGAAGGGTTTGAATCGGCCAGCTCACAGCTCATTATCTGAAGAACAGCCATGCTGAACATACAAGACTCCCTCTCCTTGCGTCCCAGGCCATAGACTGATGCAGTTTTTCCATCTTCTCAACCTACACACATTTATCTGCTCTTTAAGCACTGCGCTGACTCTCGAGCAGAAGATCTGAGGGCAGCCAGCTGTCTGGCACAGAGTAAAAAAATCAGCGTATTTTCTGTGGAGCAAAAGGAGAGTAAGAGTGAGCACAGGAGTGATGTCCCTCTGACAAGGCAGTTCACAGCTTTGATGTTTCCTCTCTCTCCCTTTCTCTTTTTAGCTACATGGCTACTCTTCCCACACAACAGAGCCTGAAAAACGCTCTTGCACTGGAGCAACCTTGGTATTATTTTGGGACTTCTCACGTTGCTATGTAAGTCTAGTCTATACCAGTGTTCTTCAGTCTGTGGTTTGCAGAGATACTATGGACTATTTCTTAATTTGGTATATTGGAATATGGAATATTTGGGATACTATGGACTATTTCTTAAGGTAACACAGAAAATTAAAATATTGTCAGATAGTGCAAATTCACTGTGCCAGGGCCAAGAATTTAGTGATCTCCCAGCTGCAAGAACTGGGAAGCTGCCAGGCCAGGACATCTCCATTTCTGCAGACGCTGTGCCGTATTGTCAGGCCTTTTGTAGTCAGCATCACCGTTAACAGGTAAACATTTACTCTGCAACCACCACACACCATGTTCCTGCCTTCTAAAAGATTTAAAAGCTCACTAGCAGACAGTGAATTTTGTTTACACAACACGCCTATCTTGTGGCTTCGTTCTTGACTGAGAAACTGCTTATATTAGTTTTCCCTCAAGGGCTCCACTTACAGTAAACACAATTAAGGCTAAACACATTATCTACCGTATACCATCATTAGAAATTGCCTTTTGCTTTTAGCTTTGTCTTTGGGTGTAGTCTGTTCTAGACACAAGCCATCCCTCAGTGATTAGGATGATGCACCTCTGCACCTTAAAACCCTTTTTAGCTTTAAGTGGTGGACAGGGTTTAGATGCTGCAGACACAGTTTAATGACATTGCTCAAAAAATATTCCAAAAGACTTAAAAACCTGTTCCAAATTTAAGCCAGAAAGCCTGTACTACTACTAGCTGGCACACCAAGCTGGCTCAGAAGGGGAACAGAATGGTGGTACAGGGTTCCCAGCAATGTAGAAACCTGTCTTTGCATTTTCCTTCTGCATCAGCCTTGTTTTTACAGTCATGGTGAGTGACTTTACCAGGAGTATCTGTAAAAGGCGTAAATCAACGTTTCCTGGCTTTGTCCTGAAAGTGACTTTTGCTCTCAGAGGATACCAGCAAGACAGGGTACTGATAAACTGTCCTTCCAAATTAACTGGGAAGGATATAATTTTTCACACTTGTGTGTGTGTTTGAGTATGTGCTGGTTTAGTTTTACTACTTCCTCTGCAAAAGGTGTGTTGCAGTGACAGACATACGCTACGAACACACCTCCTTCTCACAGATCTCCTTACAGCCTTTCCTTATGAGAGAATGAGAGGGAGGATCCAAATCTGAACTCTCCAACTCTGGATGGCTTGGGTGTCTCCTCCCTCACAGAACAACTGAAATACCCAGAAGTACCTTCCTAAACCGTAAAAAGGGAGCTCTGACAGTAGATTGTTTGGATCTGTAAAGCTACTCTTTCATTTTCTTAGTCTTGCTTTCTCTCTTCCTGCCCTCCACACTCTGCTTTACTCTAGCAAAGCCCCACGCTATGCCCCAATTCAAGAACGCTGTTTAAGAGCAAAGCAGCGAGCTGTTAAGATCAGGCAGAGTGTGGCTGATCAGCCCATGTAAAAGTATTGATGAGGTAACATCTGGGTCTTTCTCTGCTGTCAGTCATGTAATTTGTTTTTTGTCGATTCTGCTGATTAATGCTGTTACAACAATCCAGGGACAGGTTGCAAGGGCAGATGGGAAAGTGTTACAGCTGACAGACAGGAAAAAAAAGAAAAAAAAAAAGTAAAAAAAAAAAAAGTAGTACTTCCAAGCTTCTCAACGCACTGGTCTGTCTGACTGCTACAGAAAACTATTAGCCATTTTAGCATAAGCCATTGAGAGCAGCCCTCAAACAAGAGCGGAGCAAGAGATACACCTGTATTTGCTCTGTAGAAAAAACAACAATGCCACTGGCTGATCATTCACTGGACTGTTTCCTGAGAAATAAAATGAATTGGATGCCAGGGACAAATGGGTCAGGGAGAAGACGGGGTTCAGCAATGAAAAGTTTTATTATCTTTTAATTTCTTGCATAATGTCTTTGTTATGTTCCTAATTGATAGAGGCACCAGGAAACAGATGCGTTATAACATATTGATCTGACTAGTATTTTTGCAAGGGTTAATGAGAGACAGAGCAGTGCAAAGCATTTCCAGAGGTACATAATCTAATATACTCGTTTCATTATTCTTTTTTGAGAAGAAACACTTCCCCTCCAAGCAGGACTGCTCGAGAGAAGCATGGTGTGTTCAAATTAACCTACTCTCTGATCTGTCACTTGCATGAATTCCTTATGCTCCAAAAGTGAAACCATTTGGTTAGGAGCACCAGAATGTCTTTTGATCATTCAGTATATAATCACTGGGTGTCTTGTCTGTCAGAAGTACCTGAGAAGCAAATAGAGCACCTCATGTACAGCAGTGAAATCCTCCTAAAAACAGTGCCTAGTAAAAGACAGGAAAGCATCTGAGAATGAATGAGGCTGACTGTGCTCTGGTAATAACACTGTGCCTGGTGCCACAGTAACAGTGCACAGTGTCACAGTAACAGCACTGTAACAGTGCTCATGATTTCAGCCCTTGAAGGAAGGACTACTCATGTCAGTAGCATGTTGTCTTTCATGAAAGGCAAACAAACGACGAACCTCTTTTACCAGGGACAGATTTTGCCACTTCTTGCTGCTCACAATCATTATTTGCTCACAGACGCAAGGCAGGCAGCAGACACATTCTTGATTAATTTTCTGCATAGCAAATACTGCTCTCTGGAATGATCTTTCAGTGAAAATATATTGAAGTGGTGATTTTGTATCTACTTGCCAATTAAAGCGGGAAGTAGGTGTGTGTATACTGGGACCATCACATAAGCATTTCCATTTTGCCTGAAGAGGAATCAGAAGAAGTCTGAAGGCAGGAGTTGGGAGTGGTACTGCGCTGCTCAGCAGTGACTCAAAGCCAAGGAGCCCTTCTCAGGACTCTGCTTCAACTCAAATTGCTCCTAACTGAGTAACAGCATCAACCTCCAGCATAGCACAACTTGCTGCAGCTGACTCATGCCAGAGTTTCATGCTGAAGCAGCTCCCTGTATCTTCTTTTTTCAGCCTAACATAACTCAAAACCACTTTACAATTAAAAATGGCATTACAGAGCTTCAGAGACTTCAAAACTAAGCTAAACTGCATAACTGGAATACTCAGCTTGTGTTCAAGATACCCTATGCTGGCACAAAGACATCTTCATATCTCTGGTACTGCCTCCTAACAACACTTGCGCAAATTAGTTTTGGTTGTGCTATGCTGGCGTTATTTCCATCTGCTGGGGTCAACATTTGAAGGACCTTCCAGGAAAAAAACAAGGAGTTTAGAGCACAATGACTCTTTCTTTGGATTATTTTTTGTCTTCTCTTTTTCTTTCCATGCAAATGCACACACACATAGAGACAGCCAGGACAATTCCCAGTTCCGGCGCTTACTGGACTAACTAGCCTGGTCAGTTCTTAAGGGTGTATAATTTCTGGTCTTCAGGTGGTGGTTTTCAATTATTTTACTATCACCAAACAAAGGGATGTTTAATGGCTCTCTCAGTAAGCCAAAACAGTTTACTGTCCAAGTGAACAACATTGTAGCCCAGCCAGCTAGGTACCAACAGTGGTACACTATGCACAGGCAGAACACTTGTCTCTTCATGCCAAAAACCAAAGTGGATCAGTCTGGTTTTCACTTGACCATAGTGATTGCCAACTAGCAGCCTCTCTGGGGTATGTGACTGCTTTTTCATGTCACAGTGCCTGCAGAATAAGGACTGCAGTAAAAAGGGTAGAATTTCAGCAGTTAAATAGGATTGAAACCCAAAATAGCAGAATGTTTCTTTAAACTACTCCACCAAGCGCAAATGACTTGTAAATTCAGAAGGGACATACACCAACGTAAGGATGTGTTTTCACAACCTGACAGGAGAGCGTTAAGCAAGTTCTACAGTACAGTAAGTACCTTAACAACCGTCCTACTTACACAGCTGATTCCAGGATAATTCCCTCTCTGATCTCTTGTACTACTTTTGTACACCTTTAACTCTACACAAGTCTCTCTTGGCAAAGTTCCAGATACAGACTAATAAACATTTGAACGTTGCTGAACAACAGTTTCAGGGAATTGTTTCAGGCAGAGGACTCTAACTTCCTCTACAGTGACCTATTGTGTCTTTTATTCCCATCAAGAAAAGCACTGCATGTAAAGTAGATGGGATCATTTTAATTAGTAAGGACTTGATACCTCAGCTGCTGCTCAAGGCTCAACAATAGGGTCATTCAGATGTGAGAGGGCTCTGGGAGCAAGTCCAAAAATAACTTTAAAGGCACATAAATTAAAGGGAACAGGATTATGGAGGACTGTAGGTTCTGGCCCCAACTTCAGCTACAGGAAAAACCAACCCTCATCCTGTGCCTACACAGATCTTTGAATGGCCTATTTTGAACTCAGCAATGGAAAAGATACATAGCTTTTAAATGGTAGTCTTCACGTAACACATAGCAAGATGAGATACTGGATTAAAGACTATTTGTGAGTGACCATTAACAGGCAATACTGTTTCTTCTTATATTGTTGATGGAATGGACTGTAAAAGATCTAAGTAGATGGCTCTGGGTTTTTGTGGGGTTTTTGGAGTTTTGTTTAGTTTTGCAATTCTGAAATTTTGTTAAGTATTCTGTAAAATCACTTAGAAGCAGGTATTTGAGGATAGCAAATACGAATACGTTTAAACCCGAGGCTTCTAGAAGTCAGAAAGAGACCCGACAGATTTGTATTTGTTTTGTCACTAAATCAAAAGGACCTGGACCAATGCAGACTGCAGGTGGCAGTATCCAGTAGCCAGATGCAGGGTGAGCTGAGCCCAGATGGAAGTCAATACGGGCTTTTGCTGGTTTTGAATCCATGTCCTATACTGCAAGTGCTTTGCTGTCTGTACAATTTCAGTCTGACTTTTCCATTTTAATATGATATAGATTCTACTAATTAACGTATCATTAAACTGTATTTTAGTTTTTGACTTTTATGACACTGCTTTCTACTTATTATTGTCACATTCTCATATAACTAATAGTTGCCTACTCAGCAGGTAACTTACATAAATTACATTATTATTATTACTTACTCTTTGACCAACGCCATCCTCATCAACACACCAGCCACACAGAAAAGCTGTTTTGTCTTTCCTGCCAAGTACAGAGGTACAGGGAATGCCATTCTCTCAAAGTGGAACTTCTTTTCTACAAGATGTTAAGTGTTCTGGAAGCTCAATCAAGAGAAAAGGCTAAAAACAAAGATGCAATCATCTACTGTAAAAAGGGAATATATGTTCTTTTATACAATGTTGTTCTCTACTTACCGAGCAGTTGAAGTCGTCTTCCACGAAGGTTCCAGCATAGGAATTTCAGGAATGCTTAGCATTTCCATGAGTTAACTGATTGGGATTCAATTCGTATCTTTGATTATGTTAGTAGTTCAGTCATAAACCAACCACAACTAATAGCAGCTGTGCTCAGCATTCTCCATCTTTTCTCTTTTAGAGATGAATCTCTAACATACTGCTTCTTTCAAGTGAAGAAACTGAAGGAAGATCCAGGAGTTCAAGATTTAAAGTTATAGTCTTCTCTTTGAAAGAAAAAAAAAAAAAAAATCAGTTTCAGATCATTGCAGAAGCCGAAACCATTAGTATCACAGAATATCTCAAGTTGGAAGGGACCCATAAGAATCATCAAATCCAGCTCCCTGCTCCTCACAGGACTACCTAAAATTAAACTTATGAAACACACGGCTAAAAAAAAAAAATTTTTTTTTTTTTAAATCCACATATGCTCATAAACTATGTATGCTCAACATTAACAAAAGGGTGCCATTTGTCAGTGCAGCACCCCACACTGGGACTAAGGTTAATTACTGTCCCAGTTAATTAGGGGACTCAAGAGCCTCTGGGAGCCTCCCCCAGGCAGACACTGGACCCTGCCACACCTGGTTGTAGGGTCCTGAAGCCCCTATTCATGAGAAGTAGCAGGCAATGGGATTCTGTGTATTTGTGCCTTTCATGACCTTCTCCCTTATGGTACCAGATAGGTGTGCATTGACCTTTTTGTGTATGGCAGGGTCCCCTTGGGGGAAGCAACCTCCAAAATATTTTGATTGCACTTGCAACTAGTGTCTGCAACACCTGATATTTTTGGCCTATTTAAAACATGTTCAATCTCCTTTCCACATTGTCCACTTTTATAATTGAAACAAAGTAGAGTTCTAGGGACAACTGAAATGCTTATTCTTCTGCCTGCACCCAAGCTTGTAATTAGACAATAATTCAGTCATCTGACCACATAGTCTTTCTTACGTCAGAAACATCTCTGGCTTGCAAGCCAGTTCTAGTGATCAGCTCTTTCCAGCATCTCAGACCTTACCATTGAAGTTAATTACTTGGCTGTGGATAATGAATTTTCAAAAATGACCCTGAGGGCTAATGGTCCAGCCCTCTTCCTTCTGAGATGATGATCTATAAGGTGGTTTTGTCATATGCATCATGTAGATGGAAATCCTGTTTAGAAAAGTCAGAAAGCCTATTAATTCAAGCAGAAAATTTTACAACTCTTGGACATGCCAAAACCAACCCAGCTATATAATCACCAGTGTCAGCACCACAGTCATGCCAGCAGAACGGGCTTTGTCCTCTCTGCTTGAAATTTCAGTGTTCTGTATTTTTTCCAGTCTGTGAGTCTAATCCTTCATGGTTCTGGCTCTAGCACTTGTTAAGGTGTGATAATAACTAGTAGATGAAATTTCTTTCTTATAGCAGGGTTTCTCTGTTGCAGTGTTTCATGCTGTGGTCCATTACTCCAAAGCATGAAGAGCTCAGTAGTAATCTCGCAGCTCCCAGCTGACATCCTGGAGCCTTGCCTGCCTTGTCCAAGCCAAACTGTGTGGTGCCAGGTTGGAAGCACAAATATTACTGTTGGTAGTAGGGATGTATTAGCACAACAGTAGAATTTGTGGTGAATATGAGGACTTGACTTCTCAGCTAACAGGGCAGAGTCTCTCCTTGAAAACCATTAACAGCCAAGCTAGTTAAAAAGAGAAAAAATTAACAACATTAAATAACTTCACCAATTTTGAAACATTCTCACTGACTTTTTCCATATACTGTTTCAAAAATACGATTTTCAAATACCAAGTTAGGATATTTTTCAAGATCCAAAATAAAAAAGAAAACAATAACATATTTTTCATAAAGGTATTCCCTGCAAACCCAGGCAAATGTTCACTAATTTTCCTATGATTTGATGATTAACTTTGAATTAAACTGTTAAGCTTTTTTTGCCTCCCATTGTCAATGAGTAAGACTGTGTGAATGCTACAACCATGTCTCTGACATCAGGCTCAGAGCTTTTATAACTGTTATATTAGAAGGAAAAAAAAAAAGAGAAAGGAAAATCATTACTTTTTCTGCTACTAACAAAACTAAGTAATGGTCCCCACTGCGTCTAGGCACACAGTCCAGCTATAGCAGGCTGGGGTTTCAGATGAGATTAGTTGCAGTGATTTTTCAGATTCCTGCATGGCATGTGGCTGGTTCTCTTTCCTACATCTTACTTTAATAGGCAAATTACTAGAAAAAGCCTATGTATAATGTTTCATGTTGGAGATCATTTTTCATTTGGATACCATTGCGTATAAATGGTTTCTGATTTGTTCTGAGCTATGTGCCACATGTCACTCAAATATTTACTTTGCACATTAAAGCAACTCATCTCTAGATCTTATCTCAGGAGAATGAAGTTTCTTATGAGTCACTCTTCTCCTTCTTGTGTAATCAGTGTTCTAAGAAATATGTTGCATTCAGATACCAAACAGGACAGGCAAGCTCCCAACAATAGGATGTATGCTTAACATTAGTAAACTAGCATTTTAATTGGGAGAAGAATTTTATTTCTAAAAAATATGTATTTCATATAAGGCACTATATGGTAGACAACAGCAGGGATATTTACAGACATTGAGATTTCTTGAACTACAAAACACTTCCAGCTCCAGATACCACTGATTAGAAACAAACACCTGCTGGTGTAAACAGGAGGGGAATTGTGTGCACAAGGTCTCTGTTTTTTATAACTAGAAAGATGGTTCAGATTTTTCTCCAAGCTTATTAGGAAATGACCTTTATTCATTGTTAGTTTTCCAGTAGCAGAGAAGCTATATCAAAATATGGGTTAGCTGTAATAAGAAAAAAAAAATCAACTTTATTTTTGTCATGCCTTAACAAAGGTTTCAGCCAACTGAGCTAGGCCCTGAACACAAAGCAGCAAGAACAAGACAATTGTGCTTCAAAGAACATACAAACTAAAAGGGAGCAAGGGGAGGAACACATCTCACAATTTCATCCACCTACAAGTTAGGAGCACAGCATGAGCCAATTGCCAATTGGCTGAGGCCCCCCTAAAGTCAATAGAGAGATACAGAAAACTCCACTGTGCTCCTTTCCTCCCTCATATGTGGTGTGAACAAGGCCTAGCCAAGGAGGAGAGCTGCCCTGCCCTAGCAGGGGCTTGCGGCGCTGCTGTGCTCTCTCTTGTGTGCATCCTTTGGATGCTTTTAGTCCTGGGCCAGGCTCCAAACCTCCCAGAGCTTTCACTGGGACATGATACTGCCTTGTATATGGGCCTGTGTAGAGCTCGATATCCAGAAGTGCTCTGGCTCCACCAGCAGCCATGCATGGAATCCCTGGGTGAGATTTTACAGCCTGAATCATACCCAATGATCCTTCTGATATTAACTCCATGATTACAACATCCACAGTCAGAACTAGGGCAATCAACTACACGCAGAATAAAAAAAAAAGTAATCTTGAATCCAGTTGTCCCATCATATGAGATGATAGGAGAGAAGCATCCAAAAAATTGCCAATGTAGCTCCTACGGGCAACAAGACACTATCTTTTGTGATGATAGGAAAAAGAATCAGCTCTGATGGACTCATTTATAGTGATTATTATATCCTTGCTTGTCTCTGATAGCATACATGATATTCAGGGGATTGACATAATTATTCAAGGGGACTGATGTAATCTTTGCTAAGTATCACACGGTTCCTCTTACAGCAAACAGCATAATTAAGATTGCAAAAACCAGTGATACATATGTAAACAGAAGTTTAAAATCACTTCCCCCATAGACTGAAGAATCAGTGAAGTTGGTGGGTGACCACAGCAGGGAGGGAGCGTGTATGGCAGGAGACGAGGATCTTTGCGTCCTCTCATCTCACCTATAATAAAGGTTGAAGATGTGAGGACATGTGCATGTCCTGTGCCACTTGGAACAGGTGAAACAGATCTGGCTTTCTAGTGAGTGCCTGCCTCCTCTATGCCCATTAACAGCCCTAAGAGCTTAAACAGCTTCAGGTTCTTTCATGAGCATCAACTTGGCAGTATGTTAAGCATGTTAAAGCTGTTCTAAATATTTAAGCACTTAAGCCATCCTACACCACAGAAAGAGTTTCTTGTGCATGGATACTTTTGAATGGCTCATGGCTTTGTAACTTTTTTTCCTCTTCTCTTCAGAGGAAAAAAAAAAAAAAGCGCTCCCCAAAGAAATGGACCCCTTTCTCGCACAAATTCATTTCCTGCTTAATGGTAGTGTCTCTGATTGCAATGTTACAGTCACTGAAAAGCAAGGAGTGAAAGATTTCAGGGCTAGTGATTAGCATCTTCACAATGCAAACAAGAAGAATATACATAATTACTTTAATTAACATTTTTATATGTCAGCATAGAAGAGGGGAACTGTGGCTGAGCCTAACCTCTGTGCCCTCCAGAACACCCAGTATATGTTCAGAGAAAAAAATATTTCATAAAAAATATATAGTCTCACAATATCCCGCCACAAAGAAATATTAATTTGATATGCAACCATAGCCATCCTAAAATCTACCTTTAACCTACCTTATCAAATGTTTCCATGAACAAAACAAAATCCAGCCTGTGCCAAGTATCTACCTGGTACACCAGGGAGCTGGGCAGGAGCAGGAAGGGGAGAGAAGCAATCCTGCACAGACAGCCCCTGCAGCACACATCGTGGTAGCTGTTCTTCCCAGTCTCACACACTATGGACACTTAACTTTAAAGCAGAGAGAAAAGTAAGCACTTTTTGGTATCCATGGCTTTTTTCCCCATACACACATACATGCTCACAAGCCTATTGCTGAAGTTCAGATCACAAGGGACCATCTCACAAGCATTATTTCACAGATACTTAGCTACCATATATGTAAATAAAGAATAGAAATATAAAGGGACTGTCCTTGACTCCATTTTATTCTACAGGTGGTACTGTTTTGACACTTCTCTCTTTTCTTTCTTCAATACAGTGTTTTCACTAGACCCTAAACCACCTCGTCAAGGAGTGGTATGTTGCTGTATGAGCATGCAATGACTAAACCTGATCCAGCCTCTGTCTATATTGATAGGTAAGTTAAGTTCTACTATGGAACGCCTAAAAAGTTAAGAGCACATTATGTGCTTCTTTAGTGCCAGTAGGACATTTACCAGCACAGACAAGAATACCCAGAGATGTATTCTGACATATATTCTCTATATTCCGTAATGTTCTGTGGTTTCTTCTGCGTTCCAGATTCATTCACAATACATCACAGCTAGAGTCTCAGAAGGTTTGCTATCCTTTCCATTTTCATTAGTTTTATTATTCTGTTCATCAACATCATTACTTCATTCTTGATTTTCACCAGTGCAAAGCATGTCATGAATGAACACAGATAAGATGTTTCCAAGCAAAACTTATAAGCATCTCTAATGTCCTGGCAGAGGGTCAGATTTTTATGGATGGATTTGTTGTTGAAGAATGAGGCAACTGTTAACTGAAAAACTTAGGCTGATATTTTTATCTCACAGAAACCATGAGTTGTTAATGACTGCACCTGCAAGGAACACAATGAGTAAAGACACACATAGAATGAGAGTTTGTGGTGGATTAACCTTCACTAAAAGCCGAACTCCCACCCAGCCACTGGCTCACTGTGTGGGATGGGGAGAGAAAACAGGAGAAACAGGAACAAGAAAGCTTATGGGTCAAGATAAAGACAGGGGGATCACTTGCTGATTACCATCAAGGGCAAAACAGACTCAATACAGGGAAAATTAACTTAATGTATTGCCAATTAAAATTAATAATTTCAGGTAGTGGGAAACAAAGAGGCAAACATTAAAACAACACCTTCCCCCTTTCTCCCAGGCTTTGCTTCACTCCTGAATCATCTACACACCCCAAGCTGCACAGGGGGAGTGAGTGAGGGGTTGCAGTCAGTACACCGTGGTTCCTCTCTGCTGCTCCTTCCTCCCCACAATTTTCCCTTTCTCCACCATGGTCTCCCCCAGTACAGTCTCATTCCTTTTACTTATCGCAAATTTCAGCCTCTTCGACACTCTCTTACTACCTGTTGTATTTATACATTATATGCCTCTTGACTTTTGACCTCATCTATGTCTTCACATTAAATCCAAACATCGTCCGTCCCCTACCACATTTAGCCACACACATGGGAGTGATCTTCTTTCTCCTTCATCAGAAATTACCAGTCAACCCAGAGAAATAAAACCTTTCCTAAGAAATGTTGTCAAAATAATATATCTCTACAAAGAATTTTGGTTTAAATAAAGCAGCATTTTAACATCTCTATTAAAATTAAGTTATATAATAATATCATGACAGGTCTATTATCCCCTTTACACAGAGAGAATGTAGAGGAGTGAGTAACTTGCCCAATATCACACAGGAAATCTGTGAAAGAGCAAAGACTTGATATGAAAAAAATATAGGATCAGCCAAGGTTACTGTCAACCATCCTTTCATACTTTTAGTTTAGCCTAGAGATGTGGTTCTTGCCACGGGATTTTGCAACTATTTTGATGGTGTGGTCGAATGCAAATCATAGTATGTATGTAGTGTATGAAGTGCTAAACCTTAATTCTTTCCAGTGAGGCAAATTTGAGCAAGTGCTTTGTACCTGGTCTTTCAAGTCTGGATGAGAGAGGCAGGTGACGTGCTTTCACCATTAACACCATCCATTAACAACAAAAATTTCAGTTTCCAAGACTTTCCAAGTTATGGTGACAAAAGGAGCATGAAAACTTGGAGTGCTCAACTGTTCACTCTCTTCTTCCTTTACTGACTAGCAGTTTCTCAGCCATACCTTAGTTCAAAAATTACTTTGCTAGTTATTCTGCAATCCTGACCGCTCAAGGTCAGGGGCTTCCTGCACTTCGGCAGCTATTTCTTGGTTAAGACTTAGTTTGTCCAGTAGCTCAGCAAACAGCATACTTTGGACCAGCGACATGAGTCCCCCGGGTAAACCATCATGCTCCCTCCTTGTCAGGAGCACTGCGGATGGGCTCTTGTTGTGGAGAACAGTCTTTGCACAAAACAGTTTTGCAGTGGGTTTGGATGAAGCAAGAATGATCCTTACTGAGAAGTTCATGTGGCCACTGTTATACTTGGAGATGCCAAATCTGTGGTATCTGGGGGAGGTGTTTTAGTTTTTGTCTCTGTATCTCACCATCCAAATACATTTTAATTGGTAATACATTCAATTAGTTTTCCCCAAGTGTAGTCTGTTTTGCCTGTGGTGGTAACTGGTAAGTGATCTCCCTGTCTTTATCTTGACCAAAGAACATTTTCATCTTATTTTCAGCCCCTGTCCTGTTGAGGTGGGCAGCTGGCAGCTGGCCAAGCTCAGCCCACCACAGAGACAAAGCATCCATTTAACAAAAAGTCCAGTTCAGCTAGTTGCCAAGAAGATCCCAGCTATAATGTCAATGGTTACCACCCTGCACAGATATCTTTGCTGATCTAAGCACAAACATTTAATTGGTCAGAAAGTTAAAGTGATCATTGACTTCAGTAATAAAATATCAGAACCCCATATACAACTGTATCTATGGCTTTTCATCATTCTCTGTGATGGTTTGTACAGAAGCACAATGGGTTAGGGTATACACTTATTATCCTCAAGTTATTCCTGTGCTTCTTCCAACCACCTTCATCTAGCTTTCAGGTTAGCACAAAGTAGAATTTCTGGGATATTAGAAAACTATCCATGAAAACACACTGGTGCAAGCCTGTCACACAACATTCCTTTTGCTGCAGAGCAGGTGTGAGCAGTAGGCTGGGACTGTGGGCGAAGTGGGGTAATTATACACTGTCTACCAACCTGACTCGCTCACATCTTCAACTGGATACGCTACTGAGACATGACGGCAGGTCATGTCACTGGTCATGTGTGCTGCTTTCTTTCCTAGACACAGCCGCATTGTAAAGACATGGATGAAGTGATCAACTTCTGAAGCGTTTTTGCTCCCCAGATTTGCCAGAGCTATCTAAGGTAAGAGCTTTCAAATTACTTGGGATCAATACTATGTTTACGTCTTAGGAAATAACAAAAGGGAAGTGGCAAGGACTAAAACAGACAGTAAGCTTCAGGAGTGTGACAGCTGTGGCTCTCGGTCGTAAATGTTAACTCTCTATGATTAAATTGTCAAGCTTTCAAAATCTGCAAGCTCTCTCTCATGTTCTTAAAATCTGGAGGCAAAGATTTTTCTCAGGATATTTTAACTTTCTCCTAGAACAGATCAGAGAGAGAAAATAGGAAAACTAGCTTTCTGATAAGGTGAAGATGAGAACAGTAGTAAGAATGGAAAGTCAAACTAGTGCACCATAGGAAAGGGCTTAGCTCGCACATAAAAGCAGGACACAAACCTGCTTTCTTCAAATGAATGTTTATTCATGATAACTTTTTGAAGCGTTGCTAAAGCAGATCCAGATGCTCAATGCTGTTGGTAAGGGAATGTTAATCTGTAAAAGAATTAAATGAGAAGATGGGAAACATCAAATGTTAAGGTAATGATGAAGTGCTGGAAACAGTTGTGTAAGGCTGCCCTCAATTCCAACAGCTAGAAGGGAACATGAAAGACAAAGTTGTGTCAATAGAGGACAAAGGCTGAATCCAAACTCGGCATTTCCTATCTTCTTTGCTCAAGGTTTAAGACTCAGCATAACCAAATGTGGACCATGTCACTGCAGAATGGTCACACTGTCTCCCCCATACAGTGTTTCTGTATACAACAGAGCTGAGCAAAACCAAGACTAATTAATCTGCTCATCATCACTGTTGCAGAACAGAAAATGAGCCAGTCCAGATTAACGCGCAAACCACTGGACAACACTTCCTTTTAGTGGTTAGTACTCTATTTTTGGAATGGTAAAGAGGGAGGGACAAGTTCTAATGCAATCCCAGGGCCCAGCTGTGCTCATCCTTCAGAATAAGGGCCCTTTAAATGTTAGTGAAGTTGGTCATCTGAAGGAAGCAAGGGATTACACCTCAAACAGTAAATTAAGGAACAGTGTTTAAGAGATATACCTGGTTTGCATCAAAGGTTAATGCAGAAATCAGCGATGGAGCTTATTCAGTATTTTAATTAATAACCTTGACAGAAATACAGGCATGACTAATAAAATGTATGAATGAAGAAACTAATTATGGAAGCAGAAAATCTATAACACAGAATGAGAAAACCTAGAGAACTGCTGTGACAGAATTCATATGTATTATAATGCTACAAAGCAGTGCATTTTGAAAATTGTTATCAGGAATTTCAGCTACAAGCTGGGAGTTCATTAGTACAAAACAACATTGGAGGAGAAAGACCTACTGCTGGTTAATGACAGCATAAATACAAACCATCAGCACGATGTGGCTGTAGAAAAGGAAAAAGTGCTACTGGATTATTCTAAAGACAGCATTTCCATTAAATATAAGATGACAATTGTACCATTATATAGGCTGAGGACAGAGCTTGTTGGCCACTTGTGACCAGAAGGATGAATTCACTGTACAAAAAATGAGAAGAACTCAGCAAGCTTGCTTAGCCCTGCAAAAGAAAGGCTGCAAAGAGACAGGAATGTGCTCTGGGCTGTCTCAAAGGGAGAAGGTTTTTTCTATAAAAGTATGATGCTGGCACACTAACAAACAGGGATAAACTACCGTAAATAATTTTAGGCTAGAAGGTTTGTGAAAGTTTGCAGTATTTTGAATAGCTTTA